TTGAAATCGTTTGCATGCACACATATGTTCGCGTATTGTAATCCGTAGAAAGGCACTGTATCGTGGTAATGGCTGGCAACCGCTCTTTGTTCAATCCCATGCATGTTGGTGTCCTGTAAAAATTGTGGCTTGCTGCTGAAAAAAACGAAAAATCGAGTATGATCATCGGCAGGCAATTTTGAACTCACTTCTGCCATTACTTTGATAAAAGCATGTCGCCGAAACAGCAACCCATGTATATCTGCATTCTGCTGGTTTTCTCCGAGCAATTAGGCTGTTACTACCGCCTTATCTATGTTCGTTTGTTTGCTCGCGCAAGGTGAGGCGAGAGGAGGTGATCCTTGCCCACGTGTGCCCAACTACGTACCGGACGCGCGTCCGCAACCCACGGCTTTATGTTGGAGGGAGCGATAAACTGATCTGCTCGGTTGTGTGGTGGTCCTTGCTCTTCGCCATGTGCTTATATCCGCGTATATCCGTGTCCGTGCGTGTCCGCGCCTCGTGGAAGAACGTCAACGTTACTTTGGACAGCATGACTGGCCTCTGACGCTCTGTGATATTCTGAGAGACAGCTCACAAGTTCTTGAATCTTAGCAGGTTTTATTGTTTCTCAAACACACCAACTGCGGGGCTATTTACGCGGTCCATTATTTGCGTAAAACAAAATTCGTTATGGGCGCCAAATGACAACCGCAGTCGGCTCGCCCGTAAACCCCAATAAACAACGACAAAACGTAAGGTGCAGACCGCCCTGTAAGCCCAGGCTGGCTGTCTCCCCGCGGGGTGCCGGGATTGCCGCTGGTCAGGTTCTCCAAACGTCATCTCATCTCCATCTCCAAGGTCATCTCCAAACGCTCACTGCGTGAGCGTTTGGAGATGGCCTTGTTGGTGTTACACAGAAACTCACGCTGCTGAAAGGTCCCAGGGCAGGTCATGTCGAAGTGAGGATAGTGGCAGGCAGGGCACGGTATTGCCATGTCATTTCTCCATAATTTCTGAGCCTTGCTGGTGTCTGTGAAGATAATTGTAGGTACCGACTTGACGTTGTGGGCGGGTGTTTCACTACATGAAGTCCGCTGCACTACTGTCACTACATCGCTACGGCGAGGTCGCTTGCTGCCTGGAGGAGACCGTTCTAGAAAAAAACGCGCTTTGTGACTACGCTGCTTTTGCATTACTCGCCTTACTTTGTTCCATATACTACTTCAAAACCCTTCACGATAGATAACAGTCCTTCAACGTCATTAGACGTCGTATGGTGTTGCGTTTGTATTCTGTTGTACAGGAAATATATATTTCATCCTGCTATATGGTATATGTCGTTTTCTTTTCAATTGTGATAGTGAGTTATTGAGCTTAACGCGAAGATGGCGTCAGCGCGCCCATTTCAGCGCTGTAGCAGCGACCTCCGCGACGCCTCGGTAGTATGGTGTCACCGCACCTGTCGCAGGCGCACCGTGGCGCTCCGCAGACGCTCGGTAGTCTGGTGTCAAACCGCACCTGTCGCAGGCGCATCCGTGCGACCTCCGCCGGACCCTCGGTAGTCTGGTGTCAAACTGCACCTGTCGCAGGCGCATCCGTGGCGACCTCCGCCGATGCCTCGGTAGTCTGGTGTCAAACCGCACCTGTCGCAGGCGCATCCGTGGCGACCTCCGCCGATGCCTCGGTAGTCTGGTGTCAAACCGCACCTGTCGCAGGCGCATCCGTGGCGACCTCCGCCGATGCCTCGGTAGTCTGGTGTCAAACCGCACCTGTCGCAGGCGCATCCGTGGCGACCTCCGCCGATGCCTCGGTAGTCTGGTGTCAAACCGTACCTGTCTCAGGCGCATCCGTGGCGGCCTCCGCCATGCCTCGGTAGTCTGGCGTCAAACCGCACCTGTCCCGGGCGCATCCGTGGCGACCTCCGCCGATACCTCGGTAGTCTGGTGTCAACCGCACTCGCAGGCGCATGCGTGGCGACCTCCGCCGATACCTTGGTAGTCTGGTGTCAACCGTACTTGTCGGAGGCGCATCTATCGCGACCGTTTCACAGCGTCGCTGACGAGAACGCGGACAGCGCGGCCGTTCTGTCAGTGTTGTTGAGAGGCTGAAAATCCAGGTCAAGGGCCTGCTGTTGGTGCTGAGAATGCAGAACGCCATGCGTTTAGTAGTGTGTCTTGCTGTCAAAAGTTGCTTCATCGATGGTGTGGTGACATGTAGTAACAGGCGGATCTTTGCTGACGTGTGCAGGGCTGAACATGGAAAACCAGTCTCCTGGCAGTCTTGCCGGCACGCTGTATTTGTGTGTACTTTGCCACTTTGCCGCTTCCTTCTAAGGTTCTATCTTTCGTGCAGTGTGTTGCCGTTGACAACATCTCACGGTCGGTATTTTTACCCATGAAGCCCGTCAGTTGAGGCTAGCTATGGATTTCAAGGGCGTGTCAGTTGCAATGGCTATTTGCGCCCAAAGCCGTCAGTTCAAGCCGTGCCGTAATGGTCATGTTTTCAAGCAGGTCAGCGATGCACCATACCAGGTGATGTCACGGAGTGAGACTTCTGTGACATGGTTGGCAGATTTCAAGCGCCAGACAAATGCGGTGTGTTTTTTCCGCGGCTGGCTTATCTCCTGGCGTGGCATTGGCGTGACCTGTGCCGTCTGAAACATTTGCCCTCAGGCGGGACCAAGGCCGCCCAGGCTGCTGGCCGGATTCACCACAGACTTCGAGAAGGTTTATCATGGCCGAGGTGATGAAGTACAAGGACTTCCACGAGCTAGGGTCGGAAGCTGCCGTCAAGGTAAGTGGTGTCGATCGCAAATTGGGGAAGTGTTCGGATTCTACTCCGTTTATCCTGCGACGTGGGCGGGATGGTCACGAGGAGAGGCCCAGTACGGCTGCAATCTGGACAATGCAATGTGGCGCTCATTAGCCCGGCGCTACGAGAACAGCTGCGCCACAGACGTGTGGCGGAACTTGCTGAAACTTCTAATTCTGACGCTTGAGTAAAGGTGGCGCAGGCGTAATCAGGCTACAACAACCCATCCTGAGGTGAACGTGCACCGGGTCAGGGAAAAGGAACGTAGTCGCTATTGCATTGTATTATTGCACAGCTGGGACATGGCAGACATTGTGACATCGTATATATATATATATATATATATATATATATATATATATTATATTGTTTGAATAGAGATCGCGCAAATGTGCGTGGCTTCCTAGCCCTCTGATGTTAGCTGGAAGGTTTTGCAGGTACGCCTGTTGGGTGGTGGGGGCCACCACAAAGGCCTGTAACTAGGTATAGTGCAGGGGTATTTCACTACTGCTGCAGAAAAAATTGATACGACGCTTTTATTTACTGAGTAGCAATGGGGTAGTTATAGGTCATGCGACAGAAAATGTTACTCGGTTAACGCGTGAGATCAAACAATGAAGTCGCGGGTGTAGTCAAACCGGAATATTGCGAGGTATTTGCGAGCGCATGTAAGTGTTCGAAAATTGCATTTCGTATGACTCACAATACCATGGGTGAGCTTAACGTTCTGGTTTGCGCAATCAAAACCCAAGCTCATGCGTTGCACATCTTTTAAAAAGTGTTCTGACTGACTTGGACCCAGGATTTGTTGTATGTTATTTTCTGAGAGGGGTCTTGTGTAAATTCCTGAAACGTCACGTATTCAGCAAGCACTTAAGCGTGTAATATTTATTGTTGCCTGAAATTAGATGAGGTCAACTACTCATGATGTTCAGTCCGTCGAAAACCTTCAATTTGTTTATTGTGATGATGTTACCGATTGGTAAAACATCTGTTGGATGAGCTTGTCCTGCCTGACCTCTTATGACGTAGGTGATGAATGGCCACTGATACTACAACGCGTACGTACGTTTGACGCCAAGCCTGTCGATGTGTTTGCAGACTATGCCATTCACCAGTCTGTGGCCATATCATTGATCGTTAGTCGGCCAGCTGTGGCGGTGGGAGATGGGCACCGGGCATGCGGCAGCAGCGAATAATACAGAGCAAACATATGCAACGATACAGCAACCAAACAACAACATAAAAACACGCAAACAGTGTGCTCGGAAGATCTGTTTGCTCTGGGGGGGCATTTGCTTACCAAACTTTCCATCAAAAGGCTTGTGATGATGCGTGCTTTATATCTTAGATGGGCATAGCGAGCGCAGAACGCTTTCTATGAACCCCATTTCGTGAAAATCGTAAAGACGGAAAACGGGAAATGGTCCCCAACTAATTTTCGGAGCGCGCTCTGGTCTAAGTTGCGGCTTTTCGCGTCTCCGCCGAACAAGTGACGTCATTCGTCACTGTCTTCAGTGAGCTTTGTCCTCGGTGCACCGTGGGCAAGTGGCGCTGTTCGTCGCTGTCTGCGGTGAGCTTTGTCCCCAGTGCACTGGAACAGCGCACTCAGCCTGCCGCCTCTTAGTGCGAGCCTTGGAAAAGAGCGAAAGCCTTTAAAAAGCTTTATAGCCTCATGAGGCGATGGCTACGAGCTCAGGCTACGAAGTGCTCGTCATTTCGTATTTGCTCCTCGCAAGTCCTTCAACAGACAACCCGCCGACAGAACTCAGGGAAAATGGCGTCATGCCGAGATATGTTGAGATCCAGGGCGTCGGAGTCCTCTGGGTCACACGAGGAGTGCGCACTCTGTGCTCTGATAAATCCAAAACTGTCGGCCATGTCGGCTGGCTGTGACGTCACCCGACCGGTACCAGAACACGCGGCAGCGTTGGCATGGGAGCTGATTACCAAAGCGCTTTGTTTCATAGAACGGGTGAGAGGTCTTTTCGCCGCACTGCAACAGATTCCTGGACCTGTCTTTTGACTCGGAGATCTTTGATCTTTATGTTTTGACTCATAGACCTTTGATGTTTGATGTATCTTTGATCTATACTGTTTCATTTTACAGGAACACGTCTAACGACTTTATAGGAAGGAAAGCAAATCGCCTTGTGCCCAATACGTAGTCAACGATGTAATCGCGGACGTGTTGGCTGGCGTGGCTGCCAAGCGAGCCGCGCTGGCTCCACGTACATATTCTTTGCCAATCCGTGCCGGAGACCCATACCCCGGTAATTACGACCTAGCTGCACAACAAATGAGAGCGGTGTTTGGATGGGGCGGGGGCAGCAGCAGGCTTCAGAGGCGATAAAACAAAAAAAATAGAAGTCTAGGCCTGTGATCATTTCGCTCCCAGCCAAGCTTGTCGGAAGCGGGTGTGCCGCTGTCGACTACGGATCGGGCACACGTGCGTGACCCATGGCTGCCAGTCGCGTGGTGCCGTTAGGTCTCTGTCATCCCAGGAAATAGGTGTCACTCGTGGCCACGAACACAGCTTGAAACGCGGTGTTTTGACGCGAGACAATCAATGCTGGCCTGTTGACGTCGTTTATCCAGCATATCATGGTAATATTGGATGAAGAAAGAAATGTGTATGATTACCAGTGTAACAACTTCAGACTCATATTGTTCAAAACCAGTAGCTAGCTCAGTACCACTTCTTGCCGATGCCAAGAAAACAGTGCGTTTGGGGCATGAATTGTTCGCCGTCGCCAAACGCATCCAAGAAGACCAAGAAAGAAGTTGCTCTCCTCTCTACATGTGGCACCTAAGAACTGACCGTATTTGTTTTGGAGATGGAGGAGGTGAGGGGTAGCTGCCCCCTCTACCTGTCCTCCCGGCCGCCGCCGCCGCCGGCCCTGGCAATCGTCGTCGATACCGTTGTCCTTTCGTCTTTGGTTTGTGGGTCTACGCTTTGAGTCTTCGGCCGCACCATGCTGAATTAAAACAGATAGCCACAGCAGACGCCCGCTTCCATTTGTAAGCAAGTCATCTAAAATCAAATAGGCCACAGCGAGTCCTCTTTGCGCCATAATGCAGTTATTCGACGAGGGCTGTCGTAGTGAGTGGCCCCACGACGGTGAATCAGATCCTCAACAAGCCGCCTGCCAGACGCATGCCCGTTTTCAGTGCACCATTCACCGTTCGCCATGTTGTTCGCACATATGCAGAGTTTATCGAAGACCGCCTTTTTCATTTCGGTCGAAATGCTCCGCGTTCTTGCCTTTTTGCTATGCTTGACAACGGCTCTCACGGGGTACAGGCTACAGGTCAGCTGTTCATTAAACGGTTCATTTTTAGTTGACATAGGATTTTGAGCCATCTGCAAGCGATGGTAAGCACTTAGCAGTTATGTGCGCAAAATGACCATCACAGTCAGCGCTCCCTAGAACACCAATCATCATCATTATCGTCATAATCTTACTCATCATCGTCATCATCGTTATCATTGTCGACGACGACGACGACGACGACGACGACGACGACGACGACGACGACGACGACGACGACGACGACGACGACGACGACGACGACGGCGATGACGACGACGTCGTCGTCATGAGACGCAATAATATAGGATCAATTGAACGATCAACTTGGTGAATCTTGAACTAAATAGTGGACTGAACGGTTCGACTGGCGAATCCACAATCGCTGAAAGAGCTCTTGCCAGTCCATTAGTCAAACGCTTTTTTATTCATTACAACTGCAATGGTGGTAAATGAACACAATAACACGACCACTTACAATAGCGTGATGAGCCAGAGGGAAAAGGGTATCTATCCAACGCTCTCTCCTCCTTTGCGATTCGTCGCTTCAGCGCGCCACGGGCAGCGAGTACCGTAATTCAAAGTTACTACCTTACACCACTAGATGTCAGGGCCGTCGACCACCAGTCGCCGCCGCGCGCAGTCGGCGGTGGCGCACAGCAGCTCACCGTCGGCGTCGATGAAGCCGCGCCCAACTAGCGACGTGCCGCACGTGGCGCACGTGAAGCAGGCGTTGTGCCAGCTGCGCTCCTGGAAGACGCTGTATCGGGTGCCCGGCTCGCGTGCGATAGGGCCGCGGCACTTGTCACAGCGCTTGGCGAAGAGCCGAGTGTAGCAGTCTGCGCAGTAGGGCCGCTGCTGGCGGCTGCGGAACTTGTGGCCGGCCAGCGGCACGTCGCAGCTGGCGCAGACAAAACACTCGCGGTGCCACGTGTCGCCCGGTACGTGACGCCCAGACTGGTGATGGTGCCGTCGCAGCGGCGGCAGCGCGCCGCGAACGTCTCCTCGTAGCAGCGCGGGCAGTAGAGCCGCTGCCTCCTTGGCAGGAAGGTGCGCGCGCCCAGCGGCACGTGACAGACGCAGCACACGAAGCAGGCCTGGTGCCACTGGAGCGCCTTGTAGGCCACCTGCGGCTGGCCGGGGGTGATGGGCCGGCCACAGCGGTCGCAGCCGGGCGCCCCCTGGCTGCCCAGGCAGCCGGCGCACTGGGCCTGGCCGGCGCGCACCGCGAACGGCCGGCCCTCGAGCGGCGCCGCGCACGTGGCGCACGCAAAGCAGGCGGCGTGCCAGTGGCGGCCGGCGTGCGAGAGCTGGCGGCAGCCGAGCGCGATGGGCCGCTGGCAGGCGTGGCAGACGGGCGCGCCCGCCTCGCTGTAGCAGGGCAGACAGAGCGGGGTCTGGTGCCGGAGCGCAAACTGGCGGCCGGACAGCGGCGCCTCGCACCGCTCGCACACCAGGTGCTCGCTGTGCCAGCTGAGGCCGAGCGCGCGCACGTACTGGCCGGCGAACACGAGCTCATCGCAGGCGGCGCAGCGCGGCCGCAGGCGGTCGGCGTGGTGGCGCGGGCAGAGCAGCCGGCCGGCCAGCTCGCAGAAGACGAGGTCGGCCAGTGGCTGGTCGCAGTCGCCGCAGACGAAGCAGGCCGGGTGCCAGGCGGCGCCGGGCAGGCGCGCGGCCGTGACGGCCAGCTGGCCGGCCGGCAGCGGCTGGCGGCACTGGTGGCAGGCGGCGGCGGCCGGCAGCCGCATCACCGCGCCGGCCTCCAGCGCCAGCCGGCGTCGCGACGCCGACCACTCGGTGAACGCGGCCCGCTCCGGGCCCGAGACGTGCCGGCAGCAGGCCAGCGACAGGTCCTGCGCCGGCAGCTGGCGCAGCAGGCGGCGTGTGTGCGCTCCCGCTGGCCGGGCGAGCGCAGCAGCGGCCTCCGACCCTCCGGCAGCTGCTGCATGTACTCGGCTGCAGCGCCCTCGGGCAGGCCGGCCGGCAGCCAGGCGTAGCCGGCGCGCAGGGCGTGTTCGGACGGCTCGGGGCCGTCATGCGAGCAGGTGTCCTCCGGACCGCCGCCCCCGGGGTTGGCAGCGGCTGGCTCCGGTGCGGCGCCGGCCGGCAGCACGTCCGCCGCCGCGCCGCCGCCACCGGGCTCCCAGCGACGGCGCGCCGCCTCGGCAGCGCGCAGCTCGGCCCGCACGGCGCGCCACTGATCGGCGGCCGAGTCGCCGGCGCGGCAGCGGCGCAGCGGCGACGATGGCGCAGCTGGTGCGTCGAGCTGGCCGCCGTCTCCGTCACCGTGTCGTGCGGCGGCTCGGTGGCCGGCGGCGGGAACTCGGCGCACTCCTCGAACGGACAAGGGCTGCGCGGCGACGCCAACTCTTGCGTGGCGCGTCGCTCCGGGCTGCAGGCGAGCGGCGCGCGGCCCGGCTCGGGCTGGACACTCGCTTCGGCAGGCGAACGGCATCGTCGACCGGCGACGGCTTGTGACGCACGCTGTCGGCTCGCCGCACCAGCTGGACCGGCGACCGGGCTACCTCAGCGGACCGCCACCGGATCCGCTTCTCCGTCTTCGGTTTTGCCGTTGTCGATGCCCCTCCGTCAAAGCCGTCCGTGTTGGGGATCTTGGTCACATCTTTCGCAGCAGCGTCTGCAGGTCTGCTCTTGAGTACTGATCTCTTGCCAACCATCTTCTTCGTTATGAGCAAGAAAGCCTTGATTCGAACGGACAGTCCTCACCACCGCCACCACTGCCAGTCCTATGCCTGGTTGGAGGCGGTTTGTGACTTCGGCCGCCCCGATTGGCGCGAGCACTGGACGCGGCTCCTCCCGTGCGGCCGACAGTCGCCGCCGCCTCAATTGCGGCCGACTGGTGCGTAGGCAGCTGGTGGTGCACGCACCGCTGGTGCGTACCGTCGCTGACTGTGGCACCGCGGAGGCAGCGGCTCTCTCAGCCGGGCCTGGTGCGGTCCGAAGGCGGGTCAGACACGCGGCTCCCAGCTGCCGGGCGGGCGGTGCGCGCGCTCCGAGCCGGCCGCGCCGAGTGAAGCCTCCGCCGCCGCCGCCGCCGCCGCCGCCGCGGCCGACGGGCCGCTGGCGCCGCGGCCGACGCCGGGTCGCCCGCCCTTGGCTCTCCACCGTGGGCCACGTCGCTGGCCGTGTCCGGTCACCAGCCGTCTGCCAGCCACCTGACGTCGGTGCGGCCTGCGAACCGCTGTCGCGCGGCCATTGCCTCTCTCCATTGGTCTGATTGCACGCTCTTGAAGGTGAGGTGATTTGTCACTTAAAAACATGTTGTTGTCTTAAAAACATGTGTATTTTACTCAGCCCACACAGAGATCAAATTGACCTGGAGTCGGTGTCGCTAGCGACCTCGGCGGGGCGGGCGGCGCCGTGACCCCGGTCTGACACGCGCTCGCCGTCTGGCCACTGATCAGGACCGATGGCTGACGCGCCGGGCTCGGGCCGGGGGTGTTTGTATTGGCGGAGAGGCCGGGAGCCGGCCGGCCGCTGCTGACGCACCATCTCCGGTCTGGCCACCTGAATCACGGCCTCTGACTGACCCGACCCCGCGCCGGCTCCGGCCGCCCCACTGCCCGGCGGAAGGGCGCGCCCGGCCGCGGGAGCACTGAGGACGGTCTGGTCAGGAGAGCACTGAGGACGGCCGGGTCAGGAGAGCACCGAGGACAGTCTGGTCAGGGGAGCACTGAGGACGGCCAGGTCAGGGGAGCACTGAGGACGGCCAAGTCAGGGGAGCACTGAGGACGGCCAAGTCAGGGGAGCACTGAGGATTGTCTGGTCAGGGGAGCACTGAGGACAGTCTGGTCAGGGGAGCACTGAGGACGGCCAGGTCAGGGGAGCACTGAGGACGGCCGGGTCAGGAGAGCACTGAGGACGGCCAGGTCAGGGGAGCACTGGGCACGGCCAGGTCAGCGGAGCACTGAGGACGGCCAAGTCAGGGGAGCACTGAGGACGGCCGGGTCAGGAGAGCACCGAGCACGGACAGATCAGGGGAGCACTGAGGACGGCCAGGTCAGGGAGCACTGAGGATTGTCTGGTCAGGGGAGCACCGAGCACGGACAGGTCAGGGGAACATCGAGGGTGGCGAGGTCAGGGCAACACCAAAGTCGGGCAGGTCAGGGCAACATCAAGGTCGGGCAGGTCAGGGCAACACCAAGGACGGGCAGTTCATGGTAACACAGAAGGCGGCCAGGTCAGTGGAATACCAAGGACGCCGTCTGGTCTGTCAGTTTTACCTTATCAGGTCAGAGTAACACCAAAGACGAGCAGGTCAGGGGAACACCAAGAGCGGCCAGGTCAGATGAACGCCATCTTCGTCATTTTTCATCTTCGACATGTCTTCCCGGTGAATGTCGTTTCCAATGTCAACAAAAGCCGTGGCATTAAAACATGTTTTAGATGCGATCTTGTAAATGAGGCTCGAGATTATCGAAAAAAATGGCGATGGTTTTGTACACGCAGAGGTAATCGCAGTCATCAATGATGAGCGTAGACGAACACTTCGTTAATATGCCAGGCAAAACTTGAAAAGGACGCTAACACCAGACAAGTTTGTTGGTCTGATTGTGGTTTGCAACAGATAATATTAGATATGACGTGGTGTGACGTAAGTTACGCCATGTTACGTGATCTCACGGGTTACAGGCTGAAGTCTACAATCTGGTTGGCCGGCTTGTCCGGTCATGACGTCACGCAGTGACAAATTGCCAGTCAGCTGTCTGTACACTTGCGGCTAAGGCGCTATTCAAGAATGCAGTTGTTGTATATGCATGGAAAACTGATGCAAGTATCTGTATTGCACCGCAACAGGGTTTAAGCTACTCAAATGGGAGAAATAGTTGCGCAGTGCAAGAGGTACATTTGTGTCTATTTTTACGCACGTCAAAGTGGCTAGGCCTAGAGTACGGCGTTCCCTGATGACGGTAGTGTGGGCTTGGACGTCCTGGTGTTCATTGTCATGCTGCAGTAGCCCTGCGTCCGCTATCTATTTTGGGAGGAGGCCTAGCGTTTGACCTCCTTTATTTTTGGTCTGACGTGGGCGCTCGGTTGAACAAAACCGAGATGATTCTCCTGCTTGGAATTCGTTTTGACAGCGGCTTTATTTGCGACGACAGGTGTGCCGCGCAGTGGATGTCCGCTTGCATGCGCTGTTCGTGAGCAGCTGGCCGGCGGCCGGGCGGGGGTCTCCTCCGGGCGTGGAGGCGCCGCCGCCACGCCCTCTGCCCCGCCAGCCCATCGGTCAGATGGTGGTGGTGCGCCACTTCGGGCTCAAAATAGCCCGTCTGTCAATGATTCGGCGTGGCTGTGGTATGCCGACGATATTCCAACACGATGAGTCGGTCGCACGTCTTATCTGCTGGTTAAATCCAGCACACGCTGGATAGACTTAGTGCTATCACGAACATTTCGTTGCAGTAGGCCGGTTCCGAATACGCATGAAAGGCAGCTAACATTGTCGCACATTTATGGTGTTTTGCATAGATCACAATAAGACAACATGAACGCCCGAAACGCAAAACCTCATTCGGGCCTGCGAACGGCAGGACTCTGTGATAGCAGACAGCTGGTGGCAACCGACCGGTCCCCATCGTACACCAATCAGGACCGACGGCAAAACGCCCCGTATCTGGTGACGTATGGCCAGTGAGCATGGGGATGTGATGGTGCGTGTTTGTGTCGGCTCAGTTTGTCTCATGCTGACAGTGACTTTAAAGATTCCATGCGTAGAGAGACGGTGGAGGGTGGAGGGGGGGAGGGGGGGAGAGAGATATAAACGTGTTACACGTGCATGCGACTCGTGGTTAAGAAATGGCGAGAGTTAAACAAATTCAAACGAGTTAAAACAGAACATCGCGTAGATTTGATTATGTAGCTTAGCATACGTAGGTGCGGGTTGCAAGGCTGACACTGTTGCTGGTAGACACTGGTTTTATATAATATCCGTCCAAAAGAACATTAAGTTGATAGGCATTTGGACACGACCCCTGGTAGAGGACACAAAATCGCGGCCATTTTTTTTCACGTGACGGATCGCGTGTGTTTGGAAAACGGCGTGCGACATTGCCAGGTAGTTCTGGTGTTGGCCAATTTTTATGTTTACAGAACGCCGCGACACAAGTTATGTTGCCACGTCTTCTAGGCTTCATTATGCACGCGTAATCTATAATCGCTTCTGTCAGTTTTTGGTTGGCCTGTGTCCGCAAGCCCTACCTGACTCCACCTGCTTTGTCTGTGTGTGTGTGCGGTAGGCTTGTTCCCCATGCCCATCGGTCGGGTTCAGGGGACGTTGTTCTACGTCAACGCTCCACGTGGCCGCCGCCGGCGGCCAGGTCAGGCTGTGAGTCGCCTTGGCTGGCTTGGTCTGGCGACCTGCAGCCATGCCGCCGTCACAGCCGCCGCGCTGAGGTGGACACCGTCACACCCGCCGGGTGAAGCAGGTCCCTGCTGCTATGGTGACGTGTGCTCTGAGGGCTCGTAACGTCAGCGCGTGCTGTCCCCTCTCGCAGGCGGCCGGAGGCTACCGTCAGCAGGGCAAGACGTACGTCGTCGAGGACGGCGACATCATCTACTTCAAGTTCAACGCTGGCGCTGGGCTGAGTGGCAAGAAAAAGTGAACGCGCGCGCGCGCACGAGATTGCCCTAGGATTGGAATTGTTGTCCATGAAGTGTGCGCGGCTGGTGTTTTGAGGCGGCCGCGCGGCTGGGGAGGCGCACCCCGCGGTGTGACATGCGCCGTCAGTGATGCGGGGAGTGCGCCGGTGACAGGCTATTAGCATGTTTCGGGCGGTGGCGGCTGGCATCGGGCCAGGCCCGGGTTGTGGGCCGCACGCCGCCTGCAGCAGCTGCAGCCCCGGCTGGCCGGCACGCGCAGCCCGGCTCCCAGTTGGCGGGCGGCGCTCGTTAGAGTCCCGCTTGTCAGTCGTCGCCGCCCGTCCGGAAAGGACGATCGCCCGACCGACGGCGAGGCGACGCTGACGGCGCGCGCGCGCTAAACGGGCCGCGCCGGCTGCGAACCGCAACGCGCAGATGATGCATTGCATGGGATGCAGGGGTGGTTGGGGTTTCGAAAGGGCGTGCGGTCTGGCCACACATTACTAACCTGGTAAACGACGTGCTGAGTCCCATTGGTGACTAAGGTTATTTGCCCAGTATCTGCGCTTGACCTAGTCGGCGTGGCCTGCGTAATTTCATAAATCCTATTAAACTAATCGTTACACTGTTTTCTAAACGAGCATGTGACCTAATTACGCTGTGTTTTTTGCGTTATGTGTGGCTTAACTTTCAAAACTGTGAAATATATTTCTTGCGGGCTTGTAGCTCTTGTCTGTGATGCGGTAGTCATTTTCCTTGCACCACCTATCTTCCTATCTCCCTCCTATCTCCCTTGCTATGCTTCCTAGTCTCCTTTTGGGTATCCAGGCGTGTATCTGATTTTATGTGAGTGGATTGGTTCTGGTTCCGAACCAAAGCGAATGGAGCTTTATGGGAATCTCATTCAAAGGGACTGTCGAAGATCGGAGTCAGATTACAGCATGAAGAGAAACGCCGAATCCGATTCCCAATCATATTTTTGTCATAGAAAACAAGGCGGCAGGAAGTTTTCTTCGGACGGATTGCATTTAAGACAACTGCTATAGCTGCCCCAAAAGAAGTCAAAGTGCAGGGCGTT